AATGAGGGTGAAAATGATGTTTTGATGATTAATGATATGAAGAACTTATTTTTGTTATACCAAGCTAATGTTGTTTTAATAGTTTCAATTTTGATTATTTCTTTACTTTTTGCTACTCCTTTCAACTATTTATTTAGTACTTCTGGTTTACTAACACAAATTCACTTGCACGAAGATATCAAAAAATGGTTGTTAAACAAACTAGGTTTTGCAGTGCAGTTATTTGTACTAGGCAACCAGCCATACGTTTTTCAATATAATAAGTTTATCTATTATATACATGTATTTTACTAGTACTCTAAGCATAAACCAGTGCCAGACTTAGGCAAAAAAAAGTACTACTTATTTCATCATATTCTTGCTAAGCATAGACCTCTGTCACTCCTTGTCCATTATGAAACTTCGAAGAAGTTTTGCAAGCATGGGTCATTGGTCCAGTGGGAGAGGCAGCTGTTGATGAACATTGTATCTTGCTTGTCACACTTCAAGGCTAAAGTCCCAGGAGACATTTGCCTCTCTCAGGACATCAGCGCAATCTAAACAGGAATCACCTGGGCTGTTTTTATCGGTTTGATGTGCACTCTAACAATCATTATCCATAGATTTCTAAACATCAATTTCTGTTTGACTTGGTAATTGCTCGAGTTGAAGAGGTAAGGGAGGTTTCTGTCTCATCTTCTGTGTGCCTTTCCATTGTTTTGCTATGGCATCTGATAAAATTAAAACAAAAATAGATGTGAATAAGAAAAATCAATGATTCTGAAAAGGTATCTGATCCTTTGTGCGATTTTCAGCTCTTTTCTGATGCACTAGAATCTAGAGCTGTGTAATAATGATAAAGTTTCATATGGTGAATTTTTGATAACCCAACTGAAATTGAAAGACAAGTGACTTTTTCATTTATAAAGCACACACTAAATAGAACCAGAGAGCCTGTTAACAAAGACTCTTTAGGTTAATACCAGCAATACATACAACAAAATAATATGACAAGACAAGACGAGCCTTTGAGAACTAATAACACAATTGATGATTGGTGATGATATTTGCACTAGAACTGAACAATGTGGTGGTGTGGTTGTATGATGTCTGGAAAAAAAAGCCTAAAAATATCATCAAGCAGGCAACTAAGTTCAATAAATTACCTTGATTTTATATATAAAACCAACACTACCGGTAGAAACCAAATTGCATAAACTAGTATTTCACATAAATTGGTGCAATTTTTTACATAATGTATGTACCCAATTTGAAGCAACAAAAGAATTAAAATATGAGAATTTCTTATTGCAGCTTATATAGGGGAATTAAATCTTATGAAAACTCGAAAATATTTTCCGAAAATGCATTTCAGTGGTGCACCATTTGTTTATCAATACAGGCAATTATTCGTGATTTTCTTATTTAATTTAAGAAACATACCGGAAATGTAACATTGGGAGTAAATCAGAGATACACATTCGGTAAATTTGTGATATTGACATGCAAAAGAAGTGTAATATATAGGTGATAGGCGGCCTATCAAAAATTTCAAAAGAGATGATACTGGTTCAAGAAAATGCCAGTGTCCATTTAGGCTACATGGGTATCAGTTGATAAATAATAATTGGGAGTTCAATGTCATAAGTGGTTTACATAATCATGATTTAAGTACAAAGTTAGTCGGCCATTCAAGTGCATGTCGTCTCTTGGTGGAAGAGAAGGAATGCGTGTCCAACATGACACTAAATTTGGTCGCTCCAAAAAACATACTTGACACGTTGAAGCGCAAAAGACCGGATAATATTTCAAACATCAAGCAAGTTTACAATCAGCGCTACCAAGAAAAATTAGCATTTAGAGGGGATTGAACCGAAATGCAACAACTCTTGAAGTTTTTAGATGAGAACAACTACGTTTGTAGGCACCAGAGATGTGAGGATGGAGTAACAGTAAGAGATATATATTGGACTCATACTGATTCCATTAAATTGTTCAATATATTTCCCACCGCTCTTATAATTGATTCGACGTACAAGACCAACGAGTACAGGTTGTTATTGTTGGGAATTGTCGGTGTTACGTCGACTGAAATGACATATTCCATTGATTTTGCATTTCTAGAGTGCGAAAAAGAGGACAATTTTGCATGGGTTTTAGAGGTTTGTCGTTTAATGTTAAAGGATCAAGAAAATATGCCAAAAGTCATTATCACCGACCGCGATACATCACTGATGAATTCTGTTGCAAATGTGTTTGAGTTCTTCTGCATTACTTTGTAAGTATCACATTACTAAAAATGTGAGAAGTCGGGTAAAACCAGCGGTAGGGACGGGTCAACTTGAGATTGAAGAGGGTAAGCTAGTTAAATAGGGCATTGTTGTGGAGAAAATTATGGCCGCTTGGAATGTTATCATAAATACATCTATCCAAGATTTATATGTTGAAGTTGTTATACATTTCAGGAAGGTGTCCGATAAATATCCCAATTTGCTAAAGTACGTTCAGACTACAATTTTGGATCATGTTAAGGAGAAGATTGTTTGTGTATGGACAAATCAGATTATGCATCTTAGAAATACAACAACAAACCGAGTTGCGCCGGCTCATGCATGTATGAAGAATTGGTTAAGAAATAACAAGGGCGATTTGTGTACGGGTTAGGAATCCGTGAACCAAATGATACTTAATCAGCATAATGAAATTCAAACATCATTTGGTCGTAGTGTCACAGTGTTGGAACACAGGTTCAAAGACAACATTCTTTATTCTCAGTTGGTTGGCAACGTATCACAATCCACTCTTAATTTTATTTTTATGAAGCCAACCGAGCCTCTGGCTTAGGCTCCGATACCTCTAAGTGTGGTTGCACCATTGTGAAAACATATGGTCTCCCGTGTGCTTGTGTCATATCTAAGAAGCTGAAGCTTGATAGTCCGATACGAATGGACGAAGTATGTAGTCGTTGGAAGAGGTTGAATTTTGAAGACGACAATACAATGGAAGATGAAAAGTCAAGTATCACAATCTTGACAAAATGGGAAGCAATACAAGAAAGATTTAGGAAAGGCGATGACAACACAAAACTCCACATTAAAGATCAATTGAGGAAAATCATATTTCCGGAGACAACCGACTTGAAACCACCCTCTTAACCAGTTAAAACAAAAGCAGCACCAAGAAAAGTCAAACCTACACCAAGTGAAAATTCTACTATGAGGAGTCCATCGTATTTTGAACACGTTGACAAGCTTTTTCCCAATTCTCTGATACCGAAATCTCAAAAAAGATCTTCAAAGATGCTCGCATAAGAAACTCATCCCTCTCCCTCATGTTATCTCATGTCTAAATACTAAAACAAAAAAAGAATATCATTTAGCATGTTGGAAATGTTCGCTTCGTTAATGGGGATCTACCATCAAGGGAATTTAGAACCAACATGTATGAACCGCTTGAAGATCTTCGTTACACCATTCGTGGACTTTTACCATTTGGCGACAATCGAAATTTTTTGAAGATTGAGTACCGCTCCCCATCCATTAAAAACGTCGAAAAGCTTGAGTTTATCAACAAAGAGATACATACAAGCACTGATTTATGGACTATGTGGGAAACCTTTTTCGGTTACGATGAAAAAGTTTAAATCGAACTTGATGTGATGATTACAAGAACGATCAATGAAATTTTGAAGCTGTTGCAACGTTTACCCGAATGTTGAAGAATAATGTCGCATATATATTTAAATCTCATATGTATTGCTTACTTTATGTAATTTTATGTTTTGTTTGAGAATCTTGATGTAATGTGTAAGTGTTGCTTTTCCTGCATTCTGTAATGAATAATATCGGAAATACATTTTTGGTTATATATTGGATATGGATTTCCGATTTTATTTCTTTTAAACTTGATGTTGGTGCGTCCCGAAGATGTATTTCTAATTCTTGTGAGTATTTTTGGAAATCCACACTTGTACCTAAGAAACACATGGGTGCATTAAGAAATCTCTTAAAATATATTCAAACACATCCAAAGGCCCTGTGCGACAATTTGTATATGCAGCAGCAATATGAACATCAATGTAGAGTAACTCTTGTGAAGACAAATCAGACATACAATATCATTCCCTTAAACCATTTTCTAGATTTGTATTGCATCTTTTGTAGAGTTTTTAGCATTGTTCTCTTAGCAAACTCCAACAATGGCATTAAGGAATAAATTCCAGATGATCACGGGTGGTTCCACATAAGCTTCAAATCCAGTATTCAATTCCTTGAAAGTATGCAAAAAGAAATGATACAACGAATGGAACCGAGAGTACTATCATCAACAGTAACTTTGGAACATTTCATCAAACAGCTTGAAGGAGCATTTTATCAAACAGACCAAGGGTGTAACCACGTTATAACTGTGTTTCAAAGTTAGAAAGAAAAATAAGAAACCAACACAGGGAGGAAGAAAACAGAGCCAACTTCTGCCCTCCCCCAACCGCAACTAGCAGCTTCGAATCCTCTTTGCCACACCCTGAAGCAACCCTAACCTCAAGCATTGTAAATGATGCTTTAAATTATATCAAGAGTGGATAAATCTTGACTTGATCAGTTATAGGTTTTTTTTCCGAATAATCGATCCTGCAAGTTTTTTTGATCTGGCCAGCCATAATCCATGTATCAGAACTCAGAAGGGTAAATATTAGTTGCAATGTTCTGTTTCTAAAGAGAGAAGTCAACAAATCAGCAGCTACAGAAGGAATAGCAGCCATAAACCATAATTGATGTTCTGTTGGAACCTGTCTTTCCATTATTTGAGAGCTGCATTTCTCTGAATCCAGCTTTATCAATTATTATATTTATTGCACATATCTCAACAAATAGTAATACTAGTAATTTAAACCTGTTTGAATGCACAACAGGAATTGTATTTTACCATTGTACACATAGTAAAACAGTCAAATGAAATTTGAGTTAGACAAGCTCAGATAGAATCACTGTCCCCAGTTAATCCCAATAGTCTGATTCAAATAATCACCATAAGTCTTTACAAGAACAATTTCCATTTTTGAAGTGATGAAACCTCAAGGAGTCTCTGACAACAATCACAATACCAACAACCTTAGACATATACTTAATGGCATTGTGACAATCACCACAGATTCTCAAATTCTTAAAAACCCGTATTGTCGACTGTCCATTCAAATTAAGTATCCCAAAGGAAACGGCAAGCTTCTCACTGTGGTTACAAAGACTTTCAGCTTTTTCCTCTTGATCAATATCTTGCAGAACATAATCAGTGTCGGGCTTATATCCAGCCATTTTCATCTTCTCAACCAACTCATCCAAAAAGTTATAGAGTTTATCACTTTCCATATTACTTTTATCTCCAACAACAAAAGTGTGAACTCTATTTCCCACTTGAAGCCAACTACATCCTGGTGTTTTTGCAATTCCTCTTTCTTTCATTAATATTCTGATTTTTGAAGCCTCGCTCCACAGTTTGGCAGTAACAAGAATGTTGAATAAAGAAACATAATTTCCAGGGTTGTTAGGCTCAATCTCGAATAGTTTCTTAGCTGAAATTTTCGCCAACTCCACATTCTTATAAACCCTACAAGCACCAAGGAGTGCTCCCCAAGCACTGGCAGTTGGTTCCATGGGCATTCTCTGTATAAACTTGTATGCCTCGTTGAGGTGACCAGCACGGCTATAGATATCAACCACACAAGAATAATGATTAGCATCAGGCTCTATAAGATGATCCCTAGCCATTGAATCAAATATTTGAACTCCTTCTTCTACTAACCTTGAATGGCTACAACCAGATAGAACACCAGTAAAAGTAACAGGATTGGGCTTGATCCTTGATAGTAGCATCTTATCAAAGAGAAAAAGCGCTTCTTTTCCATCCCCGTGCATCGCATTTGCAATGATCATTGTGTTCCAAGCAACAACATCTTTTCTACGCATCATATTGAAGACATTCCTTGAAAGATTCAAGTCGCCACATTTAGCATACATATATAATAGAGCTGTTGTGCTTGTCAAGTCTCCAACTTTCCAATGCCTCAAGACATAGCAGTGTATCTCCATGCCCATTCTCAAGCTTTCTGAAAAAGAGCAAGCTGGTAAGATACTACTAATTGTTATTTCATTAGGTTTAAATCCCATTTTTTGCATCTTCCTAAGCATCTCCACTGCCTCCTCTGTCCGTCCATTCTCCATGCATCCACCAATAACAGCATTCCATGTAGCTTCATCTGCTTTGACTCCATCTCTGCTCATCTGCAAAAACAGGGAGAAACCCTTCTCATATTCTTTGTTCGAGAAATATGCTGTTAAAACTCCATTCCAAGACACAACATCTCGACGAGGCATTAAATCAAATACCGCTCGAGCTTCTCTTACACTTAGACATTTTGCATACAAGCTCACAAGTGCACTGCAAACAAACACATTTTCTATCATCCCATGCCTCACTGCAAATCCATGAATTGCTTTACCCGATTTCAAAATTTTCAATTCCGAGCACGCAGGTAAAATGCTAGACAAAGTCACCGGATTTGGTTTCACCCCATTCCATCCCATTTCACAAAAAACATTCAAACCCTTCCGTGGAAATCCACAATTAACATAGCAAGAGGACAACGAGGTCCAAGTAACCACATCTCTAACAACCAAATCATCAAAAACACGTCTTGCACCCTCAACACATTTACATTTACCATATGCATGAATCAATGCATTAGCAACAAAAACATCAGACGTCACCCCACACCGAGCCGCATCAGCATGAACTTCCTTGACTCTCAAGGCATCACCGGAAGCAGCACAAGCTTTGGCAACAGCCAAGAACACTGGTTTCTGGGGATTGATCCCACGTGCCCGCAATGAAGCGAAGATATTTATGGCCTCATTTGGAAGTCCATGAGCAGTTAAAGCTGAAATCAGAGTTGAACAAGTTGTGGGATCTGGTTGAAGAATATTATCGAACAGTTGGCGGGCACGGTTGAAATCTCGAACATTTAAGGTTGCTCTGAGAAGCCTGAGACCAAGGTGAGAAGGGATGTTGGTGGGGAGAGAGGGAGCTAGCATTGCTTCAGTGGAATGAAGACAAGAGTCAAAGAGGGAGAAAAGCAGAAACATGAAGTAGACATTTTGTACGCGGATTCTGTCTTCAGTGGAATATTCTTTTGTCAAATGACAATAATTAATAATCCAGATACTCTAGATTTGTTCCCAAAAAAAAAAGGTACCTGAGATTATTAGGGTGTCGTAACTAAGGACCATTTTTTCCTTTCAAAATATAAAAATATTATTTCAAACCAAAACAACAAAAACAACTACCGAGCTTAAAGAAACGCATGAATCATTTTACCTAATTAATAATTCTCATTTCCATTTCTTATAAAAAATTAAATAAAGGGATATCCAAATGTAAAAAATTAAATAAAGGGATATCCAAATGTAGAGGTGATAGACTCAAAATATTCTTTTTAGTCCCTTAACTTTATTTTTGGGTCCATTCTGATCCCTTATCTCTAAAAAGTTTCAAAGTGATCATTTAATTGTTCAAAAAGGACCACGTTTATCCTTTCCGTCTGGACCGTTAGTCAAAGTCAATGGTAGAGCTTATGTGGCATATATGTGGCATTGCACGTGTTTATATTTTCGTCCAGGTGAATTAAAGTATTTTAAAAAAAAATGGTTATAGCATTGCATGTGTTAAAGGATCAGATTACATCTCCAACACTTAGAAGGTAATCCTTGGGCAGCCATTGTTGGTAGCTCCAATCTGCGAATAAGCTGCGAGCGAAGCGAAGGCACAATCCGACCACAACATTATAATTGAAGCGAAGCAAAGGGGAAATCGACCACAACACTGCTCATCGTAGGTAAGTTTCTGCAAAACTATGATTTTTGTAGTTAGGGTTTTTTGAAATCAATGTTTCTGAAATTAAATATCTTCCTGTTCATTTAGGACCTAGTCTGAAATAGATGAATATCTCAACATTACAATACACTATAGTGGCGAATTTGTTACTGGGGACATGAGTGTTTACGAAGGAGGTGAGATTGCTGATTTGAGAGTAGATGTTGATAAGTGGAGATATTTTGAATTGATAACTGCTACTAAAGAGCTAGGTTATGCAGATGTAGAGAATATATATTACAGGGATCCTACTGCTGGGATGAATATGTTGGTTGATGACAAGAGGGCATTAGAGATTGCTGATCTATATATGGTTCATCTTAGTGTTGAAGTCTTTATTCAACACACGTTGTCAAAGCCTGATTATACTGATGAGACTAAAGTTGTATTAGATGAGGTACCCCTTAATGTGATAGTTGATGAGGCATTAGTTGCGCTTGAAGAGATGTTGAATGAAACTGATGTAAGAGAAGATGGTGTTAGAGTAGGTGATGTTAGGGAAGATGATGATAACATCGATGGTGTTGGGGAAGATGATTTTAGGGAAGATGGTATTCATGCAATAGGAACTGATGATAATGTGCCAATGGTTGATGAGGTTGAAAGTGATGATATTGGACATAGGGCTGATGAGGTTGATGATGCTGTTAGACTGACTGATGATGATGATAGTTATGATGATAGCACCTTCAACTATGATAGTGCAACATAGGTAGTATTTGATGATAACTCTGATGAGTATGACACTGCTTTAGAAGAGGAAGAGGGTAACTTAATTAACTATGAACACATGGAAAGCAAAAAAGGTAAAGAAAAGTGTGAATCAAACAAAGAAGATAGCAAAGAAAGTGATAATGAAAGTGATGATCTAAGAAGGGACTGTGATAGTTATGATAGCAGTAGAGTTAGGAGAAAGAAGTATCCAATTTTCAAGCTTCAAAAGGATATGGGCAATTACAAATGGAAAGTGGGAACCTACTTTAGTATAGTAGAAACTCTCAAGGAAGCCATTACCTCTTATGCAGTCTAATCTGGAAGAAATTTAAAGTTCATTAAAAATGACAAGACCAAGATTAGGGTTAGGTGTAAGGAAGGATGTGAATGAGAATCCTATTGTGCTAAATTGTCTACTGAGGATTCTTTGCAACTAATAAAGGTAGTAGACAATCATAGTTGCAGTAGAGAATATAATGTGAAGTTAATGAAGACTAAATGGTTGAGCAAGAGGTTGTAGAATTCACTTAAAACCAACCCTAGAATGAAAGTTAAGGACATTAAGGAGAAGGTACAAAAGAAGTGGAATATGGGGGTCAATAAAACCAAGGCCATAAGGGCTAGGTTTGCAGCCAGAGACATGATCGATGGGTCGTTTATAGGGGATTATGCAAGGATATATGACTATGCACATGAGTTATTAAGAGCTAACCCAGGGTCAATTGTAAAAGTGAATGTCGAACCTGCACAAGAAGGTGGTGTTCAGAAATCACATTTCAAAAGGATATACATATGCTTGGCAACTTATAAGGAAAGCTTTAAGTTAATCAGACATTTCATTGGACTTGATGGATGTTTTTTGAAAGGCCTTTGCGGGGGTCAAATACTTGCAGCCATAGGCAGATATCCCAATGAACAAATGCTACCAATAGCATATGCAATGGCGGAGAGTGAGAACAAGGATAACTGGACATGATTCTTAGAGCTGCTTATTGATGATCTTGGTGGAAGAGAAGAGTGTCTCACATACACTTTCATCTCTGATTAACAAAATGTATGGCTCTGTTTTTAATTTTTTTATTGATAGGTATTTCATGTTACAAATTCTCATGTTACATTTTTGATGACTTATGGATTATTTCCTGCAATGGAAGAACTGCTACCTGGAGTTGAACAACGGTTCTGTGTTAGGCATCTCTACAATAACTTCAGGAAGAGGTATCCAGGAAAAAAACTAAAGGAAATAATATGGAAAGCTGCCAAGTCAACTTACTACCAAGCTTGGGAAAGAGAGATGAAAGTAATGAAAGAGCTCAATGAAGAAACATACAAACACATGATTATCACCCCTTCAAGGTTTTGGAGTAGATCATACTTCAAGACTGATAACAAGTGTGATGTTATTCTCAATAATATGTCAGAAACATTTAACAGTGTCATCCTTGAGTCTAGAGCCAAGCCTTTGATAACCATGGTAGAAGAAATTAGGATATATATCATGGAAAGATGGGCTACAAATAGGATGAGGTTTGAGAAATTGGCAGATGTTGAAGTGTTGCCTAACATTATGAAGAAGGTTGAAAAAACAAGTTCATACACAAACATGTAGCTTATCAGGTAAATTGCTTTAAACAAATTTATTTTAAGTGTATATATTTGAAGTGTATTTATATTTGGAATGTATATTTATATGTTAGGATGTCTGATGAGCATATATTTGAAGTGAGGTATCTGGAAAACACAGCTGAAAAATTCACAGTCAACCTGAAGGAAAGTACTGTTCATGCAGAAGATGGGAGCTAACAGGTCTGCCTTGTGTTTATTCACTTGCAGCAATAAAAAGTAGTAACCACAAGATTGATAACTACATTCCTGATTACTACAGGAAAGCAAGATATATGCAAGTGTACAGACCTATAATATATCATGTTAATGGCTCAAACTTGTGGATGAGAACAGAGTATCATGATATTTTGCCCCCCAAATTTAGGAAAATGTTTGGCAGGCCAAAAAAAGGAGGAATTTAGAGCAAGGTGAGATAGATGGTTCTGATAAAAAGATGAGAAGAACATGATTCATTATAAAGTGTAGCAGGTGTAAGAAAGAAATACACAACAAGCTAACTTGCAAGGTACCATCTACTAGTCAAGCATCTCAGCCAACACAAGCATCTCAGCCAGCACAAGCATCTCAGCCAACTCAAGCATCTCAGCCAACTCAAGCATCTCAGCCAACTCAAGCATCTCAGCCAGAGCCAGCTTAAGTATCCCAACAAGCTCAAGCATCTCAGCCAGCTCAAGCATCCTAGCAAGCTCAAGCATCTCAGCCAGCTCAAGCATCCCATCCAGCTCAGGCATCCCAGCCAGCTCACGCATCCCAGCCACATGCTTCTCAATCATCCAAGAAAGTGAATCCCAAATCCAAAAAGTTGTAAGTTAGAAGGAAAAATGCACCTTTTATCCCACCTGGTCCAACAACTAGGTTAAATGCATCTAAAATTGTTGTGGGTCCAACAACTAGGTTGAATGCATCTAAAACTATTGCAGGTCCAACAACAAGAAGGACGAAACCTATTAAGAGAGCCGCAACAAAATGGAAACCTTAGATTAATGTATTTTATGTAATGGTTCTGTTAGTTTATGTTAACTTTAGTTAAGCTATTTTGGACCTGTACTATCTACTGTTGTTTTGGACCTGTGATATCAGGTTTCTTGGACATGTAAAGTATGGTTTTTAGATCTGTAATAGTAGTGTTTTTGGACCTGTAATATCAGGTTTTTTGAACATGAAATTTATGAATATTAGTGGTATCCACCACCTTATGTATTGTTGTTGACTTTATTCAAAATCATGTATTATTTACAAAATTCATCAAAAATACAGTTCCAAAATTAAACCAGTTTCATACTGGAATTTACACCAGTTCCAAAATTCATAACAAAATGATACAAATAGAACATATAACTTCATCGATTAACAATATCATCTTCTTTTCAAATGATATTACAAACGATACTGTAATTTACAACATCACCCAAATTACAAAAATTAACAACATACAAAACATTCTTTTCCATGTTTTTTCTTTCAGAATTCATCATTTTCTTCATTTTAATTTGTAACCCCCTTATCTTTTGTTTCAGTCCATCCTTTTGTTCCTTTAAAGACAATATCTCCATTTTTGCTGCATCAAGGTCATTTTGAAGCTTCTCCAACCTACTATTTTGTTTCTTTATAAACCGCTCTTTCTCATCCACAACATCATCATAGAACCATTAAAAGTATCCACATCCAGTTTCAGATGAACCCTGTGTTAGTCCAAATTTAGATAGATAAGAAAAAATAATACGAATAAGCCATTTAATTTCTTTCTTACCTTATAATGACGACAACCTCATAATTGCTTCCCAAAGTTCATATGAGTTGAAGCCCTTCGAAGAACAATCGT